GAGTGCCATGATCAACTGCACCCTGAAGGGACAGGGAATTAAGAAAAAATATCTTATTACTAGAAAATAATAAATTATATATGTTATAATATTCCTTCAGTATCTGTCTATATTTCTGAGATGTGGTATTATATACTCTATTTACTTTGTTCGGACTATCGTCCTCATCTTTGTTGCCATATTTATCACGTTTTGGCTGTTGTACACTCCAACCTTTTTCAGGTGGTTGGAATGTCGAAATGAACCCTTTATTTCACTCACTGGGAAATTTCAGGATTTCAGTTCTGTGTGTGTCTGTGGGGAAATCTTTTACTTTTTCTTGTTAGTTATTTACAGAATTTTGTTTACCAAATCTCAATATCCTGGCATTCTATTGAAGTTTTTGTTTATTGCAGTATGCTTCAGTTTATTTAATAATTAGTTATGAAGTAAAACAGATTACATTTTTCAAGTTTTAAAATCCATCAACATTTTCTATTGCTATTAAATTTGTAAAACTTCTCTATCTATAAAAATAATCCTTGTAAATGTATATGTTCCAATTTGGAAAAGAATGAAGTTTTTCAATAATATAATTATATAATTTGGAATGCACCTTTTGAGTCAGACTTTTGGTTAAATATAAGCTAGGGTTCTATGCTGACAGTTTCTTATTTTGCACTTCTTGCCTGTGGAACATTATTCCAGCTTCATGTTTTTTAGTCAACTTTGATCTTCAAAAATTTAAATATCAATAATTATCTTTTGTCTCCTGTTCTTTTATTGTTCTCCTTCCTTAATAAGGTTTTTTCTTTTTCTCAGTCTTTCACTCAGTAACCCTATGCATCTTAGTGGCTTTATTGCCTTGCTCAGGATGAAATGATAAATAAAAAAGTTATTTATATTATATAAATCCATCTGTATTGCACTGATCAGTTGGATCTGTAGATAATTGAAATAAAAAGCTCCATAAATCTTACCATTTAGTCGAAGTTTCTCTCCCTTTGAGGTGACAGCAGGGGCGGTAATATTAGGAGTCACTGCTGGAATTAAAAAAAGAAAAGAAATGTATTACAAGGTCTTTTTGAAAATTTAGCTCTATCACTGACAGTGAGCGTTTTCCAATCAGTACCGTGCATATATAATGTATAAGTAATAATATATATAAAAATTGCATATATATATATATATATATATATATATATATATTTATTAAAGACATTTTTATTTATGTTTAACGTTGTTATTTTATAGATACAAGTATTTAAGCAAATGCTCTGTTTATGATAAACAGTATTAAATAACATTTACCGCCTGAATGTCCGAGAAATTTTCATAGAAAATATTCGTTCACAGACAGGATTCGAACCTGCATCCTATAATGAACCGTCATATACGCTGACGTGCCTTAACCACTCGGCCACCATGAACCTTATGGTAGACAAGGTCGAATTTACTGTTTATAAACTACAATCTTCCATGAATCTCGTACATTCATAACTGCTCTGGCCGTATCAGAATGTAAACAAATGACGCCATATGTTAAGAAATGGGCGAGGTCCCGGAAATTTATTTATTAAAGACATTTTATTTATGTTTAACGTTGTTATTTTATAGATACAAGTATTTAAGCAAATGCTCTGTTTATGATAAACAGTATTAAATAACATTTACCGCCTGAATGTCGAGAAATTTTCATAGAAAATATTCGTTCACAGACAGGATTCGAACCTGCATCCTATACGGAACCGTCATATACGCTGACGTATTAACCACAGATCCACCATGAACCTTATGGTAGACAAGGTCGAATTTACTGTTTATAAACTACAATCTTCCATGAATCCGCGCATAAACAAATGCTCTCGTATTTAAGACATTTATTTATTAAAGACATTTTTAATTTATGTTTAACGTTGTTATTTTTTAGATACAAATATTTAAGAAAATATTCGTTCACAGACAGGATTCGAAAAATTCGGTAAATGTTATTTAATACTGTTTATCATAAACAGAGCATTTGCTTAAATACTTGTATCTATAAAATAACAACGTTAAACATAAATAAAAAACTGTCTTTAATAAATAAATTGTCGGACCTCGTCCATTTTTAACATATGACGCCATTTGTTTACATTCGATACGCCAGAGCAGTTATGAATGTACGAGATTCATGGAAGATTGTATTTATAAACAGTAAATTGACCTTGTTACCATAAGGTTATTTTATTTATGGTTAAGGCACGTTTTGATATGACGTTCCGATAGGATGCAGGTTCGAATCCTGTTCAGAACGAATATTTTCTATGAAAATTTCTGACATTCAGGCCGGTAAATGTTATTTAATACTGTTTATCATAAACAGAGCATTTGCTTAAATACTTGTATCTATAAAATAAATAACGTTAAACATAAATAAAAATGTCTTTAATAAATAAATTGTTTGGACCTCGTCCATTTCTTAACATATATATATATATATATATATATATATATATATATATATATATATATATATATATATACATACATATATATATATATATATATATATATACATACATACATGCATGCATACACATTTATATATATATATTTATGATATATTTAAATATATATATATATATATATTTATGATATATATATGTATATATTTGTGATAGATTTAAATATATATATTGGGAGGCAAGGTGGAGTAATGAATAGTGGCTTGGATTGAGGAATCAGAGAGATGAGTTCAAATTCCAGTTGAATCTATTACATTCACTTATGTGCTAATACCCTTGGGAAAGGTGTGAATTCTCCTCCTCTTCTTCCTCCATCTATGGGTAAATAGCAGGACAGACTGGGCTGTGTAGCCTTGGTTGGTAACTGGTCTAGGAGAAGGACAACTCTGAATTCAAAACCTGCAGAGGGTCGTTTGGGGACTTTGTGGCACATAGTGCACCAGGTCTCTGTATTCGGCACTCAGAAAGTGTGGATGGTTCTGCACAAATCTATCACCACTATAATCAAATCTCATGTGCTGATGTCAGGCTGTCAGTTCCTAGGAAACTGATCTCCTTGACCGTCATACATCTAATTCAACAGGAGAGTTGAGTATATATATTAATAATAAAATTATTGGTAATCCTTATGGAATTTCCAATAGAAAATCTGTTGAGAGCTCTATATCAAAAGACAGGCCAAAAATTATTATATAATAACAAACAAACACTTAAAAGACCATATACAAGAATATATATATTATTGCAAGAAACAAAGAAAAAATATATAAAAGAATACTTTCTGGCATTCTTATATATATATATATATATATATATATATATATATATATATATTTACATAAAAATGCCAGAGAGCTCAATCTCCAAAACCTGATCATAGCAACAAAGATGAGGATATTAGTCTGAATGTAAATAATGTAAATTATATTAAACCCTCACAACTGTTTTCTCTTCTTTTAGGTTTGCTTTTTGGAAGAATTTTTTCTTTTTTTCCTTTTCTTTCACGGATTTTAACTTTAATTTTTTACTTTCTTCTTTTTTACATTTCTTTCTTTGTTAACTTGTGTTTGTTTCTTTTTTATTCCTTTTTCTTTCTCTCTCTCTTTTAATATCATTTTTTTTATATCTCTATCTATAAAAGGCAGGATGGGCGCGTGTGTGTGTAACAAATGCATGGCTGCAATTTTCGCCGGATTTGCACCAAAATTTACATGCACATTCTCCAAGTTAGCGGGAAGGCCAAGACTGACTTTGCATTTTCCAACTCCCATCAATAGTGGAAATAATCGATTTTTCATGCTTCTACGGTTGTTTTCATGTCATTTTCGGTCATTTTCTACTGGCCAGAGTGATAGCCTATAGCGGGTTGCTACAAATAGGCAGGAAAATTCTATTGGCCAGTGTGAGAGCCAACAGCTGACTGACACGAATGTTAACTAGCATGCTAACATGCAAAAAATTGATAGCTGCATTCATCACAAGTGGGAAAAATTTAAATCTGCATGGCACTTTACTCCAATTGGCTCATTCGCTTGCTTAAACTCAACATTGATTCTGATTCCGCAGAACTGGGTTGGGTGTGAAAAAGTATTTGTTAACATTCTTTTTTCATTTGGTTTTTCCACTTACGAGTCCTTTTTTAAAGCTGATTGTTTTGAGTTCATTTTGTTTAGTTCTTTTCTTGTAACAGATTTAATGTTTAGTATAGAGCTTAGAAAAATTCGCAGTGTGAGATAAGCAAGAAGTAAAGCATGTAGCAACATCAGCATGGCAAAGGGCACTCCTTTAAAGGCAAGGAATGGCCAAAATATTTTAAGTCAAGTGATAGCGATTGCTGTATGAGCCGTATTTATTTTTTGATTCAAGCACGGGCAATGCCGGGGCGATGCTGCTGTATATATATATATATATATATATATATATATATATATATATATATATATATATATATATATATATGTGATAGATTTAAATATATATATTGGGAGGCAAGGTGGAGTAATGAATAGTGGCTTGGATTGAGGAATCAGAGAGCTGAGTTCAAATTCCAGTTGAATCTATTACATTCACTTATGTGCTAATACCCTTGGGAAAGGTGTGAATCCTCCTCCTCTTCTTCCTCCAGCTATGGGTAAATAGCAGGACAGACTGGGCTGTGTAGCCTTGGTTGGCAAATGGTCTAGGAGAAGGACAACTCTGCATTCAAAACCTGCAGATGGTCGTTTGGGGACCTTGTAGCACATAGTGCACCAGGTCTCTGTATTCGGCACTCAGAAAGTGTGGATGGTTTTGCACAAAACTTTCACCACTATAATCAAATCTCATGTGCTGATGTCAGGCTGTCAGTTCCTAGGAAACTGATCTCCTTGACCGTCATACATCTAATTCAACAGGAGAGTTGAGTATATATATTAATAATAAAAATTTTGCCGAAAATCTTAGCCTCTGCTAAGTTGTACTTCACAAATTGTATCTTTTCACTGAATATGCCTGTTAGATTATTCTTCTGTCATGTTGAAGCACTAATTCCCATATAGTCACTGAAGTTAAGCAACATTGGGTTTGGCCAGTACTTAGATGGGTGACTGCTTGGGAATACCAGGTGCTGTAAACTTGGATGTGTGGGGTGTAATAAATTCTCAGAATTTTCATTTGTAGAGCTGAGTTCGAATTCTTGTTGGATTCATTATAGATACCCTTGGAAAAGGTAAGGATTTTCTTTTTCTCCCCCAAGCTATGGATTAAGTAGTAGACTTGTGTCAGTAAATCATTATTATCTCGAAAAAAATCTTACATCTAAAAATATTTTCTGGATTTAAATAACCTACAAAGGGTTGATAAGCCATAAAAAATGAATCAGTCAATATGAATATGATTGCAAGTGAAGGGTTAACAGAATGAAAAGACAGAGCAATTTGACCATTCAGTAGTTTAAATGAGAACAATTTATCCTTGACAAGAGAGAGGAATAAGCCATTCCTGATTAAATATATATTCCCTTCAGGTTTTTGTTCTTTGTTGGTGGCATGGTTAATATCGGTATCCATAACAGTATAATGTTTCTGGCTTTATTTTTCTGCAATAGGATATCTGCGTAGTGTAGTAATTATTGGTGCTGTTAAAATTTCAGCCAAGACATTTATGTTCATTTTCATTCAAATACTCTTGGAAATGTTATGAATCTATCTCCCCATCCCCGTCCCCAGCCAAGGTAAATAGCAAAACAGACTAGGATCTCTAATCTATTTTGGTAGCCATTCTTAGAGTAAGACTACTCTGCATTCAAACACTGATTTGGCATTGAGCTAGCACCTCTACCATGTAAAAACTTACTTGCTAGAGAAACCATAGTAGCAACATCCAGCACAGTGAGGCTGTGGTACTATACTCCACAGGGGGAGTTTACTGAACTTACTGTTCTAAGAGCCTTAAACATCTATCAGGACTCAAACTCTAACCAGGCTTATTATTTGTAAATTGTAAAAGTTGATCAGTAAAATTAATCAGCACAAAATATCTATTGTTTTTTAATAACATTTAAAGAACATTTGCTATCTTAATACACATAATACACACACACACACACACATTATATATATATATATATATATATTGTTATACTTTGCATATCTCTCTGTGTAGTAGTAGTAGTCATAGTATAGTTCTCTGTGTGCTGAATAGCAACTGAGTTTGCTAGTCATAGCCACCCTATGTTTGCCAGTTGTTCTCGATTTATACTTGTCTATCTAATTTGCATACAATACTACAAAGGGTAATAAAACAAATCATCATAATTGAAGGTAATATTAATATACCAGAAAGTCTGATAGCAGGAATAAAGTTCTTTATTATGAAGTGTGGTATGTGGTGTGATGTAATAGTAACATGGTTCTTTTTCTTCGCTTGTTACTTTTTAGTAACATGGTTCTTTTACTCTATGTTTCACTTATCTCTCTGTGTAGTAGTAGTCATAGTACAGTTTTCTGTGTCCTGAATAACATCTGGGTTTGCTTGGCATAGCCACCCTATGTTCGCCAGTTGTTCTTTATTTATACTTGTCTATCTAAATTTGTTTACGATAGTACAATGTGTGTGTGTATATGTGTGTGGAACTCATATATCTGAACTTTTGCTGAAGTTGCTGAGAAAATGGTTAGTTTATTGTACCACTCCAGCAAGTATCTAACTCTGCTATCTATACTTTATTTCTACAAGAGCCAGATGAAACCAAAAACGAAGCATGGCTGCCATATCTAGGCTGAAGCTTGCCTATCTTGATAAAGTTCAAAAGTGTCTATGCAGTTTTGTTGGTGATGAATTTTCAAGCCTATAACCCCTCTCCCACAGATGAACTGTTACAAATCTCCAAAAAACAATGATACTGTACAAGGCCAAAGATCCACTCGAGTTATAGAGTAAGAGGCACAATTTATGGGGGTATGTGAAGAAGATAACAGTTAACCCCAGACTTGAACAGGTTAAGATTGTAGAAATCAGGAAAGCAACCTCTTGGGTATTGGTTCCACAAAGCAGCAGTTCGTAGGAAGGAGTTGCTTGAGTAGAATTTACATCTCACCAATGGAATATGAAAGGAATGAAGGTGGCTTGCTACAGTGTGCATGGCATAGTGGGTCTTTTTAAAAAAAAATTTTTCTTATTATTAATCATTCACAGCAAGGCCCAAGAGCCACTCAATGTAGAGGGTTATTGTGTAGAATTCTATTAGCATAGGAAAGGACAAGCGTTAAGAGTACAGAGCTGAAGTGGACTTTAGAAGGAACTGGAAACCCAATCCTAAACAAGAAACAAGGAATAAACCTCTACTTTTGTTTTAAATACCTGGGAGGAGTGTAAACCAGACGATGGGTGAACCTATCTACTAGAATGTAGTTGATGTTATAGATATGGGAAGTGATATGAAGACGTATGTCTTTTTCTATGTTCTATGTTCATTCAGAGTGTGGGTGATCATGGCTCTTCACAACTTTCTATCCTTTGTAGCTTCCTTTACTGCCATCCATTTACTCAAGTTCATTAGGTAGGTTATTTACTGTTTCCTTCAGTATGTCAAATTCTTCAAACCCTCTTTTCTCAATATGCGTCCCAGAAATTTCAACTGTTTCTTTCTGATCCTAAGTATAAGTATCTTTTTGCTTCCATTTTTGTTAAAACTTCCTCATTGCTTACATGCTACATCCATAGTATTCTCCGTATCATTCTGTAGAACAGCATCTATTCATCTTTGAGGAAATCATCCAACATTCACTGCCATATAGGATGATAGCAGTTCAGCACCTCTTTTCTTTGTTTTTAACAAAATTTTCCTGTTCTTTAACACTTTGATTAGCTTTTGGAAGGCAACTTTTGCTATTCCAATGTCCTTCCATAATTTTTCATCAGTACTTGTTTGATATGAAACATACAGCACAAATCGTTATGAAATACTTAGATGACAGCTAAATTGAGGTATTAGTGCAACCTGCACACAGTCCAAGCCTACATTCCATAAAAAATTTATGGGCCAATTTGAAGAAAAAAAGCAGCAGGCAGAAATAATTCACATTTGGAGGAACTAGAAGGCATTATCAGGGAAGGACTGACTAAAATACTTGTCAGTATGTGTCATGATCTTGTAAAAACTATCAAATCAATTAAAAGCAATAATTGAGAATAACACTTACAAAATTGATTACTGAACAATAAAGGCAGTAATTTTGTCCTATCTTAAATGTCTGTTTGATGTTTTTAGATATTATTTTTTTTTTTACACTAAAACAAGTTTTTCTTGACTGCATAGCTGCACATTCTTTGAAATCTATTATTTCACCATTTATGAAAAAATGCACATAAAATTTCCATAAAAATCTGAGGGATTGCAATTTAATTCATAATTATGGGAAGCGGTGGCAAATAATTCTGAGACCAATTATATATATATATATATATATATATATATATGATAAAAATATAGTTTTATGGTATGCTATATTTTTGGTTCAGAGTTAGTTAATTGGTTGGTTGATTTGTTTTATTGGTATATCAACATCTCTATGGGGTATTTAATGCTGAAATTTAAATATTTTGAATACAATTTTTTGGCTTGAACTAAATATATTTTGGTACAATTGTATACCTTCAAATACTGATAAAATGTATTGCTGGTAATTATACTATAAATATGTATTCTTGGTAATTTTTTTATATAAAAATGTATCACTGGTATTTTTATTATAGAAATTGTTGTAGTGTCTTCCCTCTAATGAGGCTATTATGGAAAGTAGTAGTAGGAAAGTTAGCCTCATGGGAACAGTGATAGACTGAATGCTGGTCAACCAATACACCCCCCCCCAAGTTGCGTAACACACTTCTGTTGTATTTACTGTTCAATACACTATTTATCTGCAACCTCTTGTTTTGTTATTCCTTAACCAATTACTTGGTCACAACAGAAATGTATTTTTATACTTTCACAGTCTTTTTGCTCAAAGATTTCTTAGTTGCCTGTAGGTGCTACCACCCTGGGTTAGAGTGGACCTGGAAACAAAATGAATTAAGAGGTTGTTCCACACTTCTCCAAATCTCCTCATCAGAGGTTTTGCTGCCAGATGTAGTTTATTGTCATACCCAGGACTAATGAGTTAAAGTGCTCAATATCAGGGATAGAGCATATATAAATATAAAAGTGAACACTGCGGTCAACCACCAGTTGTAACAGCCTGTTTCATGCTTAAACACAATCGTCAAGCCATGTGGCATATAGAAAAATAAATATATATTTCAATCTGCTAGTCTAAATCGTCTTCAAGAAGTGAGAGCAATATCTAAAAGATCAACCAATCTAACAGTGACCTCATCCAACAATCCTCACTCTTGCTACATATGCAGCCTCCTTAGCAAATCACTAGTGGGTCTTAAGTGCCACTTAAGATTATCGCACAAAATTCATAACTGAATCAATTAGTTAAGTTGTCAGATCCCCATACATCAAAACCGACAGGAGAGTCCAATATATATATATATAATTTTTAGACAGTACATGTGTTTGAGTTGCTATCCCTGAGAAATTCTATTGAAGAAAATCTTTGCCTTTAACAAGAATCAAACCTGCATCCCTTTTTTCGGATCAGGGCAACCACTTCTTGACCCAAAGTGTGCCTTTACCAGTTCACCCACAGATCCAGCCTGACAGGGCAAGTTTAGAATTATCTATTTAAGGAAACACATTTTTCTTGTTGGGAGTTCAACAAATCTGCTAGCTTCAGTTTCATGCCTGAAACATAACAATAGTAAATTTTGTAAGGATTTTTGGTCCAACATTATTTCTTATTACTTTACTATATATATATATATATATATATATATATATATATAGATAGATAGATAGATAGACAGATATAGATAGATTAATAATAAATATACATTCTATGAGGTGCAAGCTATATATTAAGACAGGTTTCATTAAATAATTTAGACATGTTTTATCTACTTATTCTCAATAGGATCCTTTCATATTCGCAGATAAGCTTTTTTGTGCGATTATTAAAAGATGAGAGGAAAACACCATGTTGGCTAACACTGTATTTATTTCAAGTACTTTTGACACAGCATAAT